GCTCTAAACGAAAAATTTGGTTTTTGATTCTAATATGTTGATAAAGTCTAACATAAAGCAAACGAAGCTTTTCTGTTGAGCAAACAAACAATTAGACAAGAAGTTATAAACTCAAGTCCTTAACAATGATGGTTTAGAAAAATCCAAAACAAAGCTGTAGTAAGAGAGGTACCTGATATTTAAATGTAGCCATGATTCCATTTACCGAGGGATTTCAAGTAGACCATGTAATAAGATCTGCAAATAGTGAGACTATTATGATGGTAACTGGAGTAGTTTCAAACTAAAAAAAAAAAAAATTTTGTATCTCTTACATGTTCTTACCAGAAAGTCAGGAAATAACAAATTGTAGTTTTAATCTCTTTTCAACACCAAACATTGTTGCTGGAATGAATGACGATTGGAGCATCAAGCATCTCCTGAAATTTCAAGTTTATGGAAAAAAAAAAATGTGAGGTTTGAATATTTAAAAATAAGAACATACCTTTACGATGGTCCAATCAATTCTTGTAAGCTTGGGGAACGAAAAGATTCATGCCTGAGTTCAGTAATAAATTTTGGAAACGTGAGTGAAATGAGTGACCAAGTTTCTTTGAGACCAATAAAAATTCCAAATTTCGCCAAGAATGTGGCTGAGATATCATACTTGTTATCAATGATCGGACAAGATCATGAGAGAAAGACAGTTTACCAATCCTTTATCGGCATGATCTCGACTTTAAGATCAGAACTCCCCATTCAGGAGCTTTATTGTCCCTGAAAAAACTGAACGCTAAGAGTAAAATAAAATCAGTTTTCTAAGTATAATAATAAAAGAAAACTTATCAATCTCATCTTACTTCGATGGATGATTGCATGAAACCGAAACAATTCTCACTTATTTAGGTCAGTTTAAGGTTAATTGTAGTCATATCACCTAGTTTTTTTTTTTTTGTTTAAACGTATGGTACATATCACAGGATTCCTCTTTGCTAGCTACTTGATAATTGGTTTGTTTTGTGTTTGATGAACATCAGTTTCACCAAATCCAACCTGTACTGCTTTCGAATAGTAACTTGGCTCTCTATTCATGGAAGATATAATAAATCAGGCTAAGTAGTAATAAATTTGTGTTAATAAAATCTGAGGTTAGTACTAGGTAGTAATAAACAGTCTTTGTCGTCTGGCCATTTGAATGCCTTCCAAGACGAATTTAACCATGAAAAAC